GTCTCACTGTAAGTAGACAGCGAAGTAAGAGCTAGTGTGGGTTGCGGAGAAGGCAAGGAAGTCCGAGTGGAGAAAGCATAGCAGCAAACACCACGATAGAGATAAGATTTTGAATTGTGACGGGCAGGGATCGTTTTAGGTGTATGGACTTAGAAGGAAGTGAGTTTCTGACTTCTTAGCGACGCACTTGTGAACGCGAAAGCGGCGCAACCACTTAGTGACGGACCTAGCCCCACTATCCACAGAAAAGACTTCTTCAGTGAGGCTGAGCCTCACCCTTGCCATCTGGTTGTGTTATCCTACCATCAAATTAATTGAGTTATGCACGAGTTCACTGAAGTCGCCTGTCAGATTGTATTTTGACGTATTTTTGATGTATTTTGTGCGTGGCAACAATTTTCCAACAAATCGCCATTATACACCTTTGAATTTTTTGAGACGCGGTGACATCGAGGCATAAATTATTCCAAATGATCATTGCATCGCACCACAGTCGAAAAACCTTACCTTGAGAAGCTGTCCGTGCAGATGCTTGCTATTTTCAGACATGATCCTCTCGGCTCTTAGTTTTGATATAGTCAATTTTCTGAGGATAAGAATTGCAGTGTAGACCGGTGTCACTGGTACGGTCATGTAGAGAATCATCGAAAGCACCTTCCAATCAAAGACATTCACATGACCGGTTACGCATTCAAAAGTCATATTGTAGTTGAATTTTTTCGCTATTAAAAATTTCACGTCCTCCACATTGCCGCCAGCAAAACAGAAAATGACCTGTAATCATGAAAACGTTACAAAGTACTTGTTATCGATTTTCAGAAATTTCAGCAACTATTACAGTTGTAATCTTTGCTATTTGCTAGAAATCCCAGCTTTGCGGCGTATTACCGATATCAATATCTCATCACTTCAAACGCGCAAGTGCTGACGGTTATGTTTAGTATACCACTGCAATTAAGGCGAAGCGGGTCCTCTTGGTTCGACCCTTTGACAACAACATTTGCACGTAGCTTGCTCATGGGACCACGCCTTTTTTGGCGCGCCCAACTCTCGCTCACAATTATACAAAATTGTCCCTCAAAGCAGTTTTTCTATAGAATTTTTGACTTTAACAGTATACCTGCAGTTCTAGGCTTTCATACTGTATATTGTTTTCAAGAGAATTCCAAATTTGGAAGGGGAACTCGGGTTTTAAAGGGAAGGAGGGCAAAACCTCTAAAGTTTAAGTGTCCAAGAGAATTTTCGATACACTTCAAACCCTTCCCATATCTGAGGGCTATGAGAAGACGAAGAAGTCCTGATTAGTAATTAATCTTCAGCCTAATAATGCAAAACCCAATTAATATGCTGGCGAGCTAAATGGCACATTCTAAAATTCTATATAAATTAGCTCTTAGTAAACATTTCTGTAAGCCGTGCTAGTCATAGATATTATGGAAATTGCTTATAATGTAAGCCTGTAGGCTTTCCCAATCGATAGGCTATGTTTACAGGCTTCTCAAGCGCATCGGAATGCCAGTACGAAGATCTGAAGCGCTGATTTCAGGCCGTCAGCCGGCACGGTACTTAAACTCTGGACGCGTATCGAAGAGGCTTCTCCCCCACCGACGCCTGCCGCCGCCACGACGTTCGTCTCGATCCGGTAGTCCGGAGCTACAGGACCTGTGCTGGTGACCAACCCTGCCGTCTACCACCCGCCGTCAGCACGACTTCACTGCGCCTTATTCTACTGGTGACTGAATAAAATAGTTGCGTTATTCTGTGCTGTATTGTACGGAGAACAGACACGGATTCGACTCTGGCGAACCCAGAGTCCTGAGTATAATAACTGGGGTGTTACAAATGTTTGTGCAAAGAAGGAAATTTCAAGGTGGCACCCACCATTGGGTTTCATTGTCCCACGTGACGAACATGGTGGTACCCCCTCCCCCCCCCCCCCCCGATTGGTGCCATTCTCGTCAAAGGTTAGCGGAGGCAATAGTCGCGCAGAAAACGGAAAACTCAGCAACTTGGGGTCAAAAAAAATTTCAGACAGTGAAATTTTCTTGGTCGGACACATTTCTATTGTAATGCAAGCAAAGAAGAAGTGAATGATGGCATGAGTCAAAAAGAGAGCAAGTCATTTCTCGTTCGAAAAGCTGGCTGAGACAATGATCGAAAGCATGGGGAAGCTCTTACAAGTTCTCAATCTTTTTCATAAACTTCGTTAGGAAACGGGTCGCTAAAAAGTCGAAAGAACTTGAGTAAAGCTTACAAATTGAATGAAAGATGGGATGTACAGGAGTATAATAATAGATATAACAGTTCTTGTTTTCGGGGTGGAATGTCCCAGTATGTAGTAGCGGTATGAGAACGAAAACAATAAACTCCACAACCAGTGAGCATAACAGTGCAGCATGAAACTATAGCTGAAAATAATAATTAGCCAGGATAAGAACAGGATTGTTCACTAACAAAAATGTAACGTGGGATAGACCTAACCCAATGTAGCACGCTACAGACCCAAAGAGTTTGCAAGGCCCATGAGAAAAATAGAATAGTGCAGTGCCACCGGGAATGAGTCTGAAATACATATGAATTACACAGAACGTCATGGCACGTTGCAGTACTACATATACATAATTCTGTCGTCTTTTTTGTGCCAGCAACTGATCTTTGAAATAATTTTGTTGCATAACCTCATCAGCATCTGCGAACGGATGATCAACTAAAACTTTCCAGTGGGGAAACATTCATACACTTGCTAAAAGCGTATAGTAGGAAGAGCGTTCCCATCGTATGAGATATCGCTAAAGGGTGGAGTGCAACTATGGCGACAAAATGGCTGCGTTCCATTACCGAATAACATATTTCAATAGCTACCTTTAACAAATTCCTATTAAATGAAAATCGACAATTTGGTATACCCGCTCACGAACTTGACTAATAATCTTGCAGAGGAAAGAAATGCTTCTTCAATTTATCGAACTTCAATGGTAAAGAGTTACTATCCCAAGAGTTAAAGAAAGGCTTCCAAATTCACCTCCCACTACTGCTCCTTGACTAGCAAGAGAATGGCCTCGGGTTAGCCTGGCCTACTTACTGCTGAATGGTTCTTAACAAAGATGCAAAGGTTTTTTCCCTACTCTGTTCACTGTCATCCTTGCAAGGTGTCCTTAAAGTCAGCGATTACGATAAAGAAGGAGCGCATCGGGGAAGCATGTGCACCACACGAAGCAGTTACTTGGCTGCCAAGGAAGCGAGGTGTAGCGCTTTCACGCGAAAGGTGCGCTGGTTGCTGAGCAGGACTTCGAAAGCGATCCGATTTGGCAATGGTGCCATCAAACGCGTTGCGAACTCGTTCATAACTCCACTTTCTGAGCTGCTACCTGTTGATGAGTGAAAACCAACGGCCAAAAAAGGGGTTTTGCGTTTTCTTGACGGATTTTTCCGCTTTTTTCGCCACTGGCGTACCATTGAGCACCACCACGTTACAATAAGCCCTTCTTGAATTTATCGTAATCGCTGCCTTCAAGTTCTCGCTAGCTCTTCATAATTCCGTAGGCAAGCGTTGGTAGAATAATAAAGTCGGAGTGCTTCCTTGCTATGTTTCTGATAAGAGCACAATAGCGAACTCATCATGAATTCACTTGCCCACGAGTTCAAAGCACTACCGCAGTTTTTTGACTTGTTTTTGTTTGTTAACTGCTGTTTTTGGCCGCAGTTCGCCTTGCGAATGTTTCACAAGAATGCTGGGTTGTGAACAAAACTTTCGCCCCAGGCAACTGGTACTGGTACTGTGCAACAAAAACAAGTCAAAATCATTGCTAAAGCTTTCAGCCTCGCGGTCATTGCCGATATCGGCTAACCGGCTCAACACGTTATACGTGTGAGTGCTGACAAGCTATGGTAAGTATACCATGAAAAGCTGAGTTGGAATGAAATGGTGCCCCGGTAGCGTAACTGGTAGCGCACTTGCCCGGAAAGCGAGAGGTGCGGGTTCTAGTCCCGCCTGGGGCGAAAGTTTTGTTCACAACCCAGCATTCTTGTGAAACTATCGCAGTGATTTTCAACTTTATGACTCCGCATAGAGAATCGCCCATGGGATATAGAAAGCAACTCTGAGCTTGGAGTCTCATGAAGGATGAAACGGTGCACACGTTGTTCCATTTGGCTACTTTGATCTGATCCTTCCCCTGAAATTTATCTTTTGTGGGAGATGCTCGGAGTCAGCAGTATACATTTTAAAAATCAAAATTTCCACTGATTTCGGAGTACTCACTCCTTTTCTGAATGTTAACGAAGTGAGCTGTAAAATTCAAGGATGGGTATCACCTGTATCACCTGTCGTCCCGTTGATCATCGAATTGCTCGAGCGGGCGCCAGCAACGTCTCCATTCGTCCCTGTCGCGTGCAGAGTTGTCCAGTGGATCCTCCTCGCTCGAGGGACACGAAGTCCTTCATTCCTTTCGTTCAGAGCTTTCGTGAAGAAGTCTGACCATCGGGCCGGCGGTCGTCCAGGTGTTCGAGGGATCCGCTCTGGTCCAACGGTCATCGCAAAATCGCATGACGTGTCCGGCCCACCTTATCTTCGATTCCTTGGCGAAAACGGCAGCGTCCCTGATCTTCGATCGTTGGCGTAGTTCGAACTCCGGATTCCCCTCTGCACTTGCGTGTATATTTCGCAAGCTCGGACGTGAGTCGGTGATTGCCTGCAGCTCGTGCGGCTCCACGCTGGCGTATCAGTTCGAGAGTTTCCGGAGACAGACGTCCCTTGGTGACTTTCAAACTCTCTGCCTTCTTGCCACAATCGTGAAGATGTTCAACGAGCCGATAGTACTCCTCGTCGATGTTTTCGATGACGGAATCCTCCCGATAGGGAAGCGAATGCGCGGAGGAGACGATGGTCCGATCCCGTGTAGAACTTCGGAACAACAGCGACGTCGGTCAGGCAAAACCTTCGATTGAAGATGATGTGGTCTATCTCGTTATGGAACTGTCCATCAGGTGACTCCCAAGTCCAACGAAGGTGAGAGGGCTTTTGGAACTGTGAGTTACCATGGATGGTGTTGGTCGACATGATAAACTCCGACAGTCTCTCACCCTGCTCATTCCATTCCATTCCGTGAGTACCGATGTGAAGTTCTTCAGCCGTTCTTCTTGGGCCAATCTTAGCGTTGAAGTCGCCGACGATGACCTTGAAGAAGGTATGATCTTCCCTGTAGAACTTCTCCAATTCCATATAGAATGCTTCGTGTTCTTCTTCGTCGTAGCTGGATGTTGGTGCGTAGGCGACGAAGATTGTCAAAGCAGGAGTTGAACCACATCTTCTCAATCTCAAACGTCCGATTCGGGTCGTAAGGCTTTCGTACGAATCGATGTTTATGGCCAAGTGCGTGTTGACGAGGGCACCCACACCGCCAACGAATAAAAAAGTAAAGCACAAAAAAATTGTCAATTGGCTAAGGACTTTCTTACCATCCTAATAGAAAAAGGAATTTCGGAAGTTTAGAGAAAACTTGACACTCTTATGGAAATGGGGTTCTTTGCGAGTACCAAAACTAGACTAGGCTCATGCAAAATCTTGAGAAACACTTTTATTAATTGAGCAAATTTGATGGCTATTCGACTTGTCCCTTCTTTTAGCGAGACAGAGTGCGCGACGTCGACGTTCACTCTCACTGCTCACCACCACGACCCATTCATTGATGATGGGCATAACATAAATAAAACAAGCACATTGGATCATACTGAAATGGGGAGGGGGTGAAAATTTTGAATTTTGCTCAAAATTTGCTGCGTTTACCCTGGCCTTGTCTGCGACGAGATGCAGCTGTTACCTGTAACACAACGGCCCACCGTCGGATAGTCTGCATCTCGTTCGCCGCATTGCTGCCTTCTCTCTTCTCTCTCACTCTCTCTGTCTCCCGTAATTGTAACACCACTTCACAAAGAAGAAAGTCTTTCAAACAGTGTGATAGGTAACTTCTTTTGCCTTCCTAAATCTTCTCTACTATGGCTGTCTTCGCACCTTTTTTGAAGTTGAATGACCACTTCTTTTGATAGTGGGTGTGTCTTCAATCAATCGCACTTCATGATCCCTCTTCTCGAAGTTCGTCTATGTACTTCAGACGAGAATTGACATTACTTCGTACATGAAGGAGATACAGTGGCGGTCCAAAGTTTGGAAATTTCTCATTTTTGATTTAGCGCTATCAATGAAGAACAATTTGCCTAAAACTCACATGGATATGCAGAATTAAGTGATGAATACGAAGGGTATCGAAATTTCCCAGAATCGAGAATTAGGTGAATTTGGTGATAGTTTCACGTAGGAAATGTAGTGAGACTTAGCAAAATTGGGTTGCCGGGAACTAAGATACCAGTTATCCCCCCTCCCCGCCTTCCTGCCGTTCAACCAGGCCGTTTTGATCAAAAAAACGGGATCAAAAAAGAAAGTGGGCGGCGTTGAGCTGTGTCGACTGGCCCCAGAATCAAATGCTATACAAACAGCTATGGCGAGGAGAGACGCGGTCGGAGAAAGGGGAAGAAGGGAATGCATCGGGGAGAATCCCAGTGCTGATGGTGGTGGTGGGGGGAAGTCAAATCGGAATCCCCTACGGGGGAAGATCCCAAAATTTTTGAAAAAGTGTAACGTGATAGTTGACAGTGACTCGAACACGGCTCCGGTTGAAAGTCACAGAAAACGGTGTCATATTGGCATCTTGGGAACCCTTTTTATCTTGATGGTAGCAATGATTTCGAAAATCGTGTTGATGCGCGTGATAAATACTGAAATCCAAGAAAATGAAGGACATCATCCACTCAATAAAGAAAAAATCATACACCTTCAAATCTGCAAATATGCACAGTAGTAGTATTAGTATTATTTTAATTATTTAGTATTCTTAAGAATTAAGATGCTAACCTCAGAGCCTCTGCTCCCGTGAGCATTTCTTTCTACACTTTAATGCGAACTTTGATGTGCAACGGTAGTTGAACATAGCGAGCTGTCCTTGTTGGAACTACAGTCAGCCGAACATTTGCTCACACACGTACGGAACTGTATAGTAACGGATGAAAAACTTGAACTACAAATGATTCAAATGAAAAAAAAAAGCTCTAACTCACATCATCTTTGAAGAAACGTCACCATCATCACAGTGGTACTGATGACGTCATTCAAAGCCTTCAGCTCGAGCGTTCCCGACAAATTCTTTTCCTTTTTCTTAGGTGTTGGCCAATTTTGCACCAATATTCCCTATCGTGTCAGAATCACACAACCTTTGACTAATTCCACCACACTCAACACATTGTGGCGTCCGTCCGAAACGAAAACAACTCCCTTAATCCGCTCCGCATTACTTCCGCTCAATTTTGTAGTTTCATCTTACATTGTTCCACTCATTACAATTTGCA